CAGGATGAATTTTCCTTTCTCTTTTTCTCTAGAAGCAGTTTGAAATTCAGCCAGAATCAGGAAGATCTTCAGTACATGGTTATAGTAAATTGCTGTCCCAAAAATCTGATCCAGCTCAAGGTCATTTAGGAAAAGGGATCCCAAGATAATGAGGAATTCCAGGAATTTGGAATTCTATTTGGTCCTAGAATCAGACTCTGAATTGCCTGCCTTCTACTCATCTCAGCCCCCTGAAATCCCACCTACTTCTTCATTTATTTGTTCATTCATCTTTTCATGTCAGCAATTAATGAGTTTCTATTAGTTGCCAGTAACTCTTCCATAAATAGGCATCTTTTGCCCTAAAAGGCCTAACTCAAAGATCTCCTTGTCTATAGCCTCTACTCAACTCCTCTCCTCATTAAGTTTAACTTCTCACTTCATCAAAATAAATTTCTCCTTTTTCTGGTTTCCCATACCTTTTTGTTCATGACTCCATTATGTATAGTATTTATCAAATGACATAAAGTGCTGAGAGTATGTGATATCTTGAAGACTGAGATGTCAGCATTCTCCAGCAACACTGTTATACCTTAATCATAAGAAAGGGATCTAGATTTGTGTTAAAATTAACAACACAGAGTGTAAAACGAGATTACTAGCTTCTAATCCCGGCTTTAGTTGACAAGAAAGTAACCTAACCTTTTTATATTTCACTTACCTCATCTGTAACATGGGGATAAAACCAGTACCAGCCTTATGGGTTGCTGTGAGGATTAAGTGAGTTAATACACGAAAATGATTTCACATAGTACCTAGTATTTTTTCAGTCAGTATTAACTAGCATTATTATTTATCATTGTTATTATCATTAAATTAGGGTTGGGCCACAGTCAGTTGGGATTGGAACATTCCCTGTTCCCCATTTGGTGCTACAAACTGAGACTAGCTAGATTCTTTTAGGAAAAAATATTTAGGTTTTCTTTCTTTTTTCCACATGCTATTCCCTTGTGAGTTGGAGTTCATATACAGAATGTCTTTTGAAAGGCTTACTTATTAAAATAAGAAATAAAACATAAGTTTACTTAAGAAATGTCATTTGATAATTTAGTTAGCATGTCACTATACACACAGTTTGTAAAAGATTGAATTCAAGAAATTTGAAACAGAAGAATAAGTGTAATTATTATAGCAGTGGCAATGACAACTATGACATATTGGCAAGCCATCCAAATTCAACTGTAGGTTTGACCATGCCATTTTCCATCAGAGTGACAACTGAACACTCTAACACTTTTACTTTCATTTCTTGATCATGGTGATGCTAGTATAAAAAGTACATTTCGAGAAAAATGAAGGAAGCAACATGTAGGTTATTAAACAATAAATTATCTTGATCAGGAATAAGTTTATGTTCCAACTAAAATGATGGTAATAACTATTTCTTAATAAATTTTATTATTATTATTATTTTTTGAGACAGAGTTTTATTCTGTCACCCAGGCTGGAGTGCAGTGGTGTGATCTCAGCTCACTGTAATCTCTTCTCAGCTCACTGTAATCTTTAACTCCTGGGTTCAAATTATTCTCATGCCACAGCCTCCTGAGTAGCTAGGATTGCAGGCATGTGCCACCACACCTGGCAAATTTTTGTATTTTTAGTAGAGTTGGGGTTTCACCATGTTACCCAGGCTGGTCTTGAACTCCTGGACTCAAGTGATCTGCTTTTTCTGGCCTCCCAAAGTGCTCGGAGTATAGAGTGAGCCACCATGCCCAGCATAAATTTTATTTTTATCATTATATTTTATTTTGAAGGTTCTCTGAATTAACAAAATGATGCTGAAAAAAAAAGATGATGGTTTCAGATACAAGTTGCGGCATGAGCAGTCAATGCTACTGTGGAAGGATATACATTACATGTCCCAGTGCAGAAAAAGATGATGATCCTCTCATTCCTAAAAGTCACATAACTCCTAAGGGAAGAACATCTTGGAATGAAGTGATCAAACTATCACAAATCACACTGCTTGGATATGAACAAGAAAATACAACTGGAAATGGAAGTCCATACTCAGAGTTTCAACTACTACATTCCTTTACTCTCTGAATTACCTTAGTTATGAATACAGAGGAGAGAAAAAAATGCTTACAAGTATATTTGCACTTTAAATTTCACAGAGAACATTCCTATATACCATCTTATTTATTGGTTATAGCAAGATTAGTTATTCCTATTCTCCAGATGAGAAAATGAGGGTCAGGGAAGGTAAGTGAACTTACTGAAGTTCACAGAACAAATAAGAGGTACAACCAGGCACAAAACTTGAGAATTTTTGATTCCATGTCCTGGAAAGTCTTACCTATTCCTCAAGCTGCTTTAATTTATATGGAAGACTTTGATACTCAGGTTGTCTTCCTCTTCAACATGAAGGAAAAGTACAGTTTATCCTCAGTAACACCTAAGGACTTATATATTTTTTCCCTTGAATTTTCAATTTTACTTTGGCTAAGAATGTATGTATCTTTTTATTGATTTATTTGTTCAACAAGCATTCATTAAGCTCTGGCCATGTGCACAGTTCATGAGTCAGAGTAAAGGTTACATAAAAGTTTCAGGAAAGGAATACATCTATACATATAATCAACATGAATCACAAATATCTAAAAAGTTTCTTCCCCTCATTTCTCTCGTTCACATAATTATATTAGAAGCCTTCTGTCACTTTTTGATTGTTTAGAGATCAATTATCTATTTTATCAATTATTTTATTTTTATTTAATCTAAATCCCAATGATCTGAAAAGTGATGGGTATACTTCTTTGATTTTTAACATGAGCTCTGAGACTACAAGTGAATTTCAACATTGATTTAAGCAAAACATAATTAGCATGGTTTTGTTTACTAATGAAAATAATGATTATTATAATTATTATTTGCCTCCATTTTAAGATGAGGTCTGGAATTATTCAAGTTCACACAAACAGCAAGTTGTAGAACGAAGACTTGAACAAAGATGTTTTCATTAAACTAGTTAGCATTTAATTGGTAATTTCCTTGATGCAACCAGAGAACGAAAAGAGCACTACAGTATGAAAAAGCTCAGATATAAAATATGGGCAGCCAGCCTCATGAGGGAAATACCCAGATTTCTTTATTCAAAGGAATGTCTAGAAGACTATGCAAATCAAATATACATCAATTCTGCCAAATCCAGACCACAGCCATTTTTTCAAAATTAAGTGCATAAATTTTCTTTCTCCTGAAGAGCTTGAGAGTTTTCATGTGTCATTTATCAATATGAAGGATTTTTAATTAATGAAAATATTCTATCAAAGCATTATCCTTCTTCACAGCATTCCTAAAGAATAAGATAGGAATCTGTATCATTTCAACTTACAAAGATGAATAAAGTACTACAGGGCAATGTAGTTTCTGAACTTACCTGCATATGTTAGCGTTAATGTGGGGGATATATTAGTTGTTTTCATGCTGCTGATAAAGACATACCCAAGACTGGGCAATTTTCAAAAGGAAGAGGTTTAACTGGACTTACAATCCTACATGGCTGTGGAGGCTTCACAATCACGGGAGAAGGCAAGGAAGAGCAAGTCATGTCTTATGTGAATGGCAGCAGGCAAGGAGAGCTTGTATAGGTCTCAGATCTCACAAGACCCATTCATGATCATGAGAACAACATGGGAAAGACCTGTCCCCATGATTCACTCATCTCCCCGTGGGTCTCTCCCACAACACATGGGAATTATGGGAGCTACAAGAAGAAATTTGGGTGAAGACACAGAGTCAAACCATATAAGAGGACATTTGCTTCTTATGGCCCACAAGACTGAACATCAATTTTTAAAATTAATGTTGAAGTTATTTTACTGAATCCAAACATTCTAAAAGCAGAAATTTTCTGACTAAATGTGCATTTTGTTAACTATATAAATTTACATTGAAAAAGTATTGTCAGGAGCAGTTGCTTATACCTGTAATCCCAGCTACCCAGGAGGCTGAGCCAGGAGGTTGGGGATTGCTTGAAGCCAAGAGTTCAAGATAAGCAGGGCAACATAGTGAGACCCTATTTCTAAAAATAAAAATTAAAAAAATTAGCCTGCTGTGGTGTCAGGCACCTGTAGTCCCAGCTACTCAGGAGGCTGAGTCAGGAGGACAGCTTGAGGCTCACAGATCACTGCAGCCTTGAACTATGACTGCAGCACTGTACTCCAGCCTGGGCCGCAGAAGGAGACCCTGTCACTTAAAAAAAGTTTTTTGATAAAAAAAAGAATCTAAAAAATGTATTTACTAAATACCTTTCAAGGGTCAAACATTAGGCTAAATGCTGGGACACAGTACTTAGTACAAAAGTCAAGACAGTGCTTATAATCTTGGTGCTTATATTCTAGAACAATGCTGTCCAATAAAGACACAATGTGATTCATGTTACTTAAAATTTTTCTATAGCCATTATTTAAAAAGCAAAATATTAATTTAATATCACATTTGACCCAATATATCTAAAATATTACCACTTAAACATGTAATGAGGATAAAATTATTTTTATAATATTATATATATTTTTCAAACTAAGTCTTCAAATCTGGTGCATATTTTAGATTTATGGCACCTCTTAATTCGAAGTAGCTACATTTCAAGTGCTTTATAGCCACATGTGGCTGTTGGCAATGGTGTTGCACAACATAAATTTATGAGAGGCCAGGTGCGGTGGCTCATGCCTATAATCCCAGCACTTTGGGAGGCCGAGGTGGGTGGATTACGAGGTCAAGAGATCGAGACCATCCTGGTCAACATGGTGAAACCCCGTCTCTACTAAAAATACAAAAAATTAGCTGGGCATGGTGGTGTGTGCCTGTAATCCCAGCTACTCAGGAGGCTGAGGCAGGAGAATTGCCTGAACCCAGAAGGTGGAGGTTGCGGTGAGCCTAGATCGTGCCATTGCACTCCAGCCTGGGTAACAAGGGAGAAACTCCGTCTCAAAAAAAAAAAAAAAAAAAAACCTAGGGGAATATTTAAATAGTAAGCAAGCAATAAGATATAACATTAGAAGTGCCAGACAAGGGATACAGTACGATGGCAGCACATAGGAGAGCATCTCAACTAATGTGAGTAGGGTTGGAAAAAACTTTGTGAGGAAGTGACATTTCAACTAAGCTCTAAAGGATGAGCTGAAATTAGCCAGAGAAAAGGAAAGGGGTAGGGCAGGGAGATGAGAGAATAGGAAGGTCAATATTCCAGGCAGAAGGACATCCAAGGCCTGCAGGTGAATGACTATGGCGTACTGGAAAGACTACAAGAACTTCAATATGGCTGGAACAAAGACTATTATGTGGAAAGGGGAAGATGAAAAGACAGGTAGGAGCCAATTCATGAAGGAAGTTGCAAACCATTTAAAGGAGTTTGGCCTTTACTCCATTTAAAGGAGTTTGGCCTTTATTCTAAGAAATCTTTCCTTTCTAAAGCCTCTAGGACTGTATTATATTTATGGAACTGGCAACTTCAGACTGAAATGTGCTCATCTTCACTGGAATACAATGGGGAGTAAGAGACATGAAGATGAAGAGGCTAAAGCTGGATGACCATTTATTAGAGGTGATGAAGAATCTAGTTTGGGATTAGATGAGTCCCCTAGGCCATTTGCAACTCTTAGATTTTAGAACTGTTAACTCTTTAGCTAGAACATTAGAATAAACATTATGCTTAATAAAATGTGGATGTTATTTATAAATCATTTTTGTAAGGAACACTGTATCTAACACTGCAAATGTGTTAAATATTTATATTAAGATTCATGGCTGGTAGTTCTGAATAGTATATGTATGAACATTTGTAGTAATAAGAACAGTGAAATCCTACAGGTTGCTTTTGGAATTCTCTTGTAAGTTGCTTATAAATTACCGCTTTGAATAATTTGCAAAGTAATTCACAATGCTTATCAGTGCTCTGTTCGAACTTGGAGCCTTGAATCTGTCTTTTAGAACTCCCATGATATGGAAGAGTACTGGAACCGTAGTTATCAATACTAGCAAAAGGCACCAAACTTTATATTATACAGTTTACAGCTTAATTATCTGACTTACAGGATCCCACTGAGTGTGTGATTCCAAGTGCATTGTTTTTCCTTGTCCTACTGAATTATTAGCTTTTGGAAATTAAAGAAAGTGATTTATATTTCCATTCATATGTATTTTAATATGTGTCAAGAACTGTGCTGCATATTTCCTAGAGTGCTTGATAGTTTTGAACATATTTAGTATGAATTTATCAGAATCAGAAAACACATTTAAATATAGCCACTGCACTTTATATCTTGCCAAAATACATGTTTGTTAAACAAACATATTGCTTAGGAATTATACTGGATTTACAGAGTCCCCCACAATTCATGTCTACCCGGAACCTATAAATGTGATCTGACCTGGAAATAAGGTCTTTGCAGGTATAATCAAGTTATGATGAGGATACACTAGATTAAGTGAGGGCCCCAAATCCAACATGACTGGTATCCTTATAAAAAGAGGGAAATTCTGGGCACAAAGACAGATGCCCAGGGATAACGCCAAGTGACTATGGAGGCAGAAACAGTGATACATCTACAAGCCAAGGAACACCAAGGATTGCTGGCAACTGCCAGATGCTAGGAATAGTAAGGAAGGATTTTCCCCTAGATCCCTGCTAACATCTTGATTTCAGACTTCAGGTATCCAAAACTGTAAAAGAATAAATTTCTGTTGTTTTAAGACACCAAGTTTGTAGTACTTAGTAACAGCAGCCCTAGGAAACCCATACAGGAACCTGTGCCCTACCAATTGCACCTCATATTTCCTTTATATAGCAGCTCTTGATTTATTGGACTTGACAGATTTAACCCTTTTCTCTGTTAAACAAACTGTGTGAGGGTAGGATCCTATTCTTTGGATTCTCTGGTATTTCTATACAGTTCTAGTCCCATCAAAAGAGCTGTGCACTTCCAGCCCAGAATGTTCACTGTTGGAAACTTTGGAAACCCCTGTTAAAGGTGAATCACTTAAAAAATTCAATCAGATTAGGTATGAGTGAGGCAATTATAAAAGACTAAAATGAGATCATGAAAATCTAGAAAAAATTATCATTCCGATTGCTTTGCAAAGCCTTTAAAGTCTTACTTCATTTTACTAAAACTATAACCAGAACTTGTAGGACTTATGCCATGGGTGTGGTTTGTTAAGACTGACTTTGTGAAGTTGCAATTAAAACCCAAGCACGCACACACACGCACACACACACATATTTGTCTAGGTTCTATAATTCTCTGCTTTTATCAAATTTTCTATTGACCATATTATCATAGCTCTTGATTATAATAAATAAGAAAGAGAATTTTCACTGTAAGAAGTTATTACATGATGTTTTTATTTAGTTCCCTGACTATAATCTATTAGTCTATAAACTATATACACAGAGATTATACCTGATTCGCTCTTTAGTGTTTAGCATAGTGCCAAGTATAGAGCAGCTTCTCTCAAACTATTTTTTTAAATAAATGAGCACAAAATGAAAACACATTTTTGATTTTCCCTTTTTCGAAAAATCACATTATTAATAAAGTTTTATTATTATAGACTGATATTTAAGACATAAAAATGGCCTCATTACAGGTAACTTGATGTTTTAATGGCATTTACTAAAATGAGGTTTTATTTACCATATATGAATATTCTCACTTTTATTGTATTATTTCTCATAGCTCAATGTGCTTTCATATCATAATCTTTCTGAAAGTATTTAAATTGATCCAATTGTACACCTTCACATACTTTCTACTTAATGCCACAGTGTTATTTCTCCAAGTTTACAAAGTAGGATGCACAGACAGAAAAGGTAGCTTAAAGGCAGATTTTCAATTATGCCTCAAATTCATGAGCTTCCAAATTCTAGACCACTATTAACTCCGTCATTAATTAGGCTATAACCCTGAGCAAACTATTGATCCTCCTTGAGCCTTAGTTTCCTTAGTAATCAGATGAGGTTTTCTGACTGGACAATTTCTAGGATGCTCTCTAGTCCCAAGTCCTCATTTTCAGCACCAATTTTAGATTTGTTTATGAATAAAAAATATAGCTTCTCACTGCTTTTGTTTCCAATATGGGAGACAGAAAATAACATGTGTAGTTAAAGAATTACAGAAAGGATGCTGTGGAGATGTGTTACTGAGTACGGAGTAGGAAGAAGAAAAGGAATACCAGAGGGTGACTTTAATGTCAACATGCTTGGATAAGCTCTTTTTTGAGGAGAAAAAAAATGAAATATTTTATATTCATATAACCACAAGAATTCTCTTCTTAAACTTGCCCAAAAAAATCTCAATGGTAAGTTTGAAGGCCCCTGAGGTATGCAGCTTAAAAAATTAAAGGCTAGTCAACTCTTTATATTTTATTATAATAACTAAGTAGGATATAATCTTATTTAATTATGTAATAAAATAATTGCTATGATCTCTAAATCCTACTGATCTAAATGAATTTATAATTAAGTTTTACTCCTTAAACTATGGATAATATTAAGAAAGAGGCAGCTAAAACGTTCTTTTTATAAGTTACACAAATATTCCTTTTTAAAAAACTTCTTAAGTAATTTAATAGGAAGCATTGAAAAATACCTTAACACATTTGGTAAATAAAAATGATATAGGGTTTCAGATGGTCCAACAAGATGAAGAATTTACCATTGGAATTCTGTTAAATAACTGCAAGAGTTATAGTTTTACCTTGGAAAACTTTCATCATGGAACACAGCTGTGAAACAACTTTGGCTTCAAACAGAAAGACCATAATAAAAGCGCCTCCTAGCTAGAGTTAGGTTCAAGAGGTTTATGGTGGTGAATAGCAGAATAGCAGAAAAGATGAAACGTTTCAATAAGCCCCTCAGGCTGATTTAGTTAGCATTCACAAAGTGGAATAACCTATACATCACATACCCTTTGTTAGCTGGTTGTTTAGAATAGAAATATGAGTCACTGGATTTTATTTTAGCATTTGGGCAATGCAATTCTCCTTTTGCCCAAAATATTAAAATGCAGAAATGTGAAGCTAAGAGAAGTAATGTCAGATCTTATACAGGGTGCTTATCAACCATTGTGATGGATCAAGAAATCCTTTGGCTCATCATTCCATGTTTCACCTTGGTAGGCACAAATGATACATTATCTTATGTTAAAAAAATCCACATTACACAAATTATCAAACTACAGTACATTTTAAAAAACTTTTTATGTGAGGGAGAGGTTTTGAAGGGGAGAAGCTTGCAAAAGCAAAAGAAAACTGATATTGGAAAAGGATAGGCAAGATTCTAACCTGCGTGATTTCAAGTACAAATGAATCCCTCTGGGAGTTTGGGGGATTAATGCACACATACATGTATGTGCATGCATGCATACACACAAGCGCACACACACACATGAAAATATAATTTTTTTCTCTTAGGTACTGTTGAGAATTAATGAGGCTACCTGCAACGATGCTGGCAAGCTGCTGGGTTCTGGTAATGGGGTAGATGCTGCGTGCCTGAACAATTGCTGAAGCGATTTTCTTGGCATGCTTCTCCTCCCCATATGCTCTTAGGATAGATGCAAGTGCCTGTTGATCTAAAGCATTCACAACATCAGCAGCAGTGGGCATGTCAGGGTACCTATGCACAAGAAGAGCCAATTAGTTCACTGACGTCAGTTTTCACTGACAAGAGGTGAAACTTCAGAGTACTGAGATATAAAGTCAGACATATACACATAGACGAGGTTTTAAAGTCAGAGACTGAAACCTTAAACAAATGAAATAGACTTTCCATTTCAAATACTCATCATTATGGCAATGGTGATGGTTTGTGATATTTATCAAGGTCAAGGCAGCAGGAAGTTAAAATATTATACTAACCTTTATCTTTAATTCACACAGAAATGATACAAGGTATGTTGATGATATTTAAACGAGTCTAAATCTGAAGAACTTGACTAAATCTGAGGCTGTAAAATAACTGATTACTTGTGTAGACACAAATTGAACTTAGAAAATCTATACAAAAAGATACTGCTGGTCAGTTTCCCTCATAAAACTCAAAACAACCTTAATGGCAATAATGCATATTATTCAAATGTTTAACAATATTTGCTCATTCCTCCATAACAAAGATCACCATATGGTAAAACCCGGTAATCAAGAGGCAGTATTGATCAAGTCTAGATAGTAATTTTAGGTGGAGGAGAAATAAAAAAATACAAACCTTTGGTCAAATAAAATAAATTATAGTCAGAAATGACATTCACTCTGTCAGACCATTCCTGTTTACTTTAGAGAAATAGGCCAAAGAATTCTAAGTGATAAGCTAATTGTGACCTTACATATTAGAAAAATAGCTTTGCTAATGGTACAGTTACTTCTCGTATAGTTAATATGTTGGATTGATTGTTGGTAACACATTGTGAGTATTTACAAGTAACAAGAATATGGTAGCTTGAAGACCTAAGGGTCCAACCAGAGTGGGGTTGCCAAGATACACCTGAAATTCTCCTTAAAAATACTAAAATATACATTGTTAACATGTCTAGTGCCTCCAGGAGAAAATCTTTTTGTGGTCCTTGGCTTGTCCCCAGATTTGTCATCTCTTTCATCTCTCTTGATGTCTCTTTGTCTCTCTTTTTTGTCCAAACCTTGCTTTTCAGATCTTACAATAATTGTTTTTATGTAGGTCTGCCACTAAACCCACAGAACAATGAATATCTTTTAAGGTAGCCCTATTTCTGTATCAGTAGACTTTGCTTCTTCAGTTTTCAGGATGAAAATCTGGCCTTTGGAGTTCAATTGATCTGAATTAGAATCCTGGCCCGGCTACTCACATTGAGTATAATTTTTAACCTATTAGAGCCCCAATTTTTAACCTATGAAATGAAAGTAAGAATTCTTAACTTATAGAATTGTTTGAACAATTATTGGTATACATATTGTAAAACAGAAATATGATGCCTGGAACATAAGAGATGCTCAATGCATGCCATTGCCCTTTAGATCTTTCTCACTCATAAATTTGCAAGGCATAATTCGCGGCTTAAACAAAAAAATCCCTGTTAAACCTGACCTATTTGTGAATTCAAATGCTCAAACCACTGAGCATTTGAATTAACTCTGTTAAAGATGTGAAATTTAGAAATTTATACATAGGATACAGTCCAGCTTTACCAAGAGAATTTTATGATGAGTATGGATGTACTTAGCAGTTTTTAATGATACTTTTCTATCTTTAAATAAGAAAATTTAAAAGCATTTTGTTCAACACACATAATTTTACTCTGAATAAATAATTGGACAATACACATAATTTTCTCTTACTCTTATATTAACAGTGATTGATGGCATAGTTTCCATAGTGCTGCACTGGAAAGGTACAACACTGGAAGGTTTGGCAGGCTGCTACGCAGCTTGAGAATAGGCATTCATATGGTCAAGGAGTTAAGATCCAAGAGCTGCCCTCCAACTACAGGTTAATAGATTTGATCTTGTCAGTCCTCCAGAGTTCACTGACTTACAGTGACTAAGAAAATATAAACACAAGTGATAATTTATTATCTTCCAGTGAAAACTATAATTATTAACAGAACTAGACTCTCAAATTCCTGAAGCTGTGAATTTATTTCTGCGGCTTCCACAGGAGAAGACTTATTGTAATCTGAAAGCTGCTGTTGAAATTGGGATCAGCACAGAATAAATTATGTTTTAATACTCTACTGTTAAATGGTGACTGGTTAAGGAAGTCACTTGCATTTGTCTTCATCACAGGGATACTCTCTCCCTTCAGGAACTAACAGGCCGTATTTTTTGACCAGGAGTAGCCAAAGCAAACATATACCACTTGGATTAGCACTGCACATATTTGCATCTATGACTTTTCTTTTTCAATGATTTCATGTTAATCAACTCCCCCTTTTCAAAGGTCACATACTTTCTTCAGGTATGTTGTCATTTTTGATTAAGTTACAGTCTATACTATCTATCTGAAAGCCATTCAACATTTTAAGATATATTTACACAACTCATCCATTAGGTATTGATTTAAGAGTTTAATTCTTAGTGTCAATGTTATTTTCAAGCTCTTGGGAAAACCTCAGGGACCCTGATTCACAAACTATAATTTGCTAAGTCTTTAACAATATGGGATTTATTACTAGTAACTAGAAGTTTTGTTCATTGTATTTCAGAAACTGGCTTGATGTTTTATTACCTCTGCACAACCACCTCCATCTCCACACATGAGAATATATTTGAACTTTATTATTAGTTACTTGTTTTTAAATGCTTTTTATTATTTTCTTTTATAATTATACCCTTCATTCTGTGAATGCCAACATGTGCAAAAGAAGGTAAAACACTTGGGAACAACAGGGTCCCAACAAATATAGGTCATGTGCCAAGTTAACAGGTCATATCACAACATAGGGAAAAACGCTATATGTGAATAATTACCACAAAACAAAGCAGTTTGTGATGAGGCATGATATGAGAGAGAAAAGCACAGTTAAGTTTTACAAGTACAGGCTGTCCATTCCCTAGGTCAGTATTGAGAATAGACACAGGTCCTAATCTAAGCTTTTAACATTAATTTGGACAATAAATACAAAGAAATTGTTGGCTGGGCATGGTGGCTCACGCCTGTTAATCCCAGCACTTTGGGAGGCCAAGGCAGGCAAATCACATGAGGTCAGAAGTTTGAGACCAGCCTGGGCAACATGACAAAACCCCGTCTCTACTGAAAATACAAAAATAATTAGCCAAGTATGGTGGTGCATATCTGTAATCCCAGCTACTCAGGAAGCTGAGGCATGCCAATTACTTTAACCAGGGAGGAGGAGGTTGCAGTGAGCCAGGATCATGCCACTGCACTCCAGTCTGGGTGACAAAGACTCTGTCTCAAAAGAAAGAAAGAAAGAAATTATTTCTATACTTTCCTAGAATATGATTGTGTTATTTAATATATTTGAATAATGGAAAATAAATTCTAGTATTTCCAGAAAGAGGAGGTTAAAAGATATCCTATGTATAGGACTATGTTTGATATAGTACCATAAATTGCAGATTCTCTGGAGAAGGTTCAAACAAAGTGATTGTACAAGACAGGACAAAACACACTTGCTGACCTCTAAGATCTTACCTTTTTTTGTGTGTGTGTATTCTAAAAGAGGATGCATTAAATATATGTAGTTCTTTTGGCTTCTCACAAGAGACACAGTTGGGCATGCATAAAAATGGAATCATTGTTTCAGCATCATGATATTTATTGATATTGGTTAACACTCTAAAACCTATATTGTGTAAGTAAAAAAGATAATCCGAGTGAAAGTTATCCTTGTTATCCTCTTCACTATTTTATGTAAAGGTAGTAATTGTTTTTCTTTAAACATCCCAAATCCAGAGAAACATTGATGTGTATAATGAGCATCGAACAAACTGATTTATTATGTATTGGTGGCGTTAGGTCTAGGCATGTGTTGGAAATTTTGTAGTCTTAAAAAAATTAAATTCAGAGCATTTGTGACAAATTGATTTCTTGTTGTTAGAAGAAATGCTTTATCAATACTCACCTGTCACCATCCATCCTCATGTCCAAGGGGCCGTCTTTCCGAAGGGAAAAACCTCTTTCAGAAGTATCAAGTTGCATGGAGGAACACCCAAGATCCATAAGAACTCCATCAAAAGTCCCTGGCTGCACTTCAGCTTTCATTAATAAGGTTTCTGCCTGGCTGAACCGGCCCAGCATAGCTCGGATTTGTTTACTGTGGGTAAACCCAGGAGATAGCGAAAACACTTCTGTTATATTAAAGTCTTTCTAAAGTCTATGATCAATGGAAGAGAGCACATTCTATTATTACATGATTTAACCATTATATATTTACCGAGTGCTTGGTGTTGTATAAAGACATGGATATGGAAACTATACATCTTGAGTTTCAAACACCAGAGCTGGTTTAATGTAATTTTATTACTGCTGATAAACACAATTTATTGTATATCTTTGTGAAGGGATACAATATACTCCTAAGTTAGAAAAATTCTTTTGTCAAACCAGGTCTTTCAAATCTTCTTTAAAAATTCTTAAATCTATGGGTAGAGAAAGAAGCATATGTCATTCTATCAAAAGAATAATGAGTAAGTCAATTTAAATACAATAATAAAATAGAAATCATAAAAAAGATGTCAAATATGTTCAGTCCAGTCATTTTAGCTTTCTCCATGTTTTTCCTATAATTTAGAAAAGGGTATGCAGCTATAAACTCCAGGAATGAAACCATGACTAAAATAAATGCCTTCTTGCAGAAGCAATGTATTATCTCTCAGCAGGGATTCTGAAGTCAATGGAGCATTCAGAACCAACAGACAGACAGGAGTTGGGATCACCTTGTAGCTATACTAATGCTTCGTCCTACACAAAGTGAGATGCTGCCTTCAGGGTTCTTCAGAAGCCTTAAGGCAACTAGCATGCATTTTGGAAAGTGAATGAGAAGAGATTGGGCAATACTCTCAAGACATCATTCCCTCTGTTTAAAGGTGGGTAGAGTGAGTTTGGATTTCAAACAGTGTTAGAGAATTTACATTTACAATGTTTACTTATACGTTATGTTGTTTAAGGTGAACTTCACAGTTCATTAGTAACTTTTTAATAAAATTCCAATGGAGAAAGTAATTGAATATCTGCTATGGGTCAAGCATTGTTATTGGGAGTGTACATAAAGATTAATAAAGCATGACTTTTTGTGTTTTGAGCTACGAGGAAAAGATATACAAACAGTTTACAAAATAATCTGATGGTTGCCACTAACAGAATGATGAACAAATTGCCCTGTTTTTATTTGGAGAATAAAAATGCCAATACTAGCATTGGAAACATAGAAATAACAGAATCTTACTACTGAAAGGCAACTCCCAAGTCATTTATTACTATTACATAACTAATATTTGTATTTTTCCCCAATCCAACATCACTGCTAGGTGAGTGGGCAGAAACATGGAGACTACATAGATATAGTCACTGTTTTAAGTACCTCCTGTATACACCATTGGTGAGAGAGGGATTCCAATTCTAAGGTTGTTGAGATGGCCAAACAGGAATTCATCTAGCCCAACACTGGCCAGATGAAACAAAAGTTTTTTTTTTTTAATTTATTTTTTATTTTATTTAACTTTTAAGTTCAGGGGCACATGTGCAGGTTTGTTATATAGGTAAACTTGTGTCATGGGCGTTTGTTGTACATATTATTTCATCAACCAGTTATTAAGCCTAGTATCCATTAGTTATTTTTCCTGATCCTCTCCTTCCCCCTACCCTCCCCACTCTGGTAGGCCCCAGTGTGTGTTGTTCCCCTCTATGTGTCCATGTGTGCACATCGTTTAGTTCTCACTTACAAGCATGAGCATGTGGTATTTGGTTTTCTGTTCCTACATGAGTTTGCTAAGAATAATGGCCTGTAGCTCCATTCATGTTCCTGCAAAGGACATGTTCTTATTCTTTTTTATAGCTGTGTAGTATTGCATGATGTATATATAGCACATTTCTTTATCCAGTCTACCACTGATGGGCATTTAGGTTGACTCCATGTTTTTGCTATTGTGAATGAACATATGTGTGCATGTGTCTTTATAATACAACAATTTATACTCCTTTGGGTATATACCCAGTGATGGGATTGCTGGGTTGAATGGTATTTCTGTCTTTAGGTCTTTGAGGAATTATTACACTATCTTCCACAATGGTTGAACTAATTTACACTTCTACCAACAGTGTATAAGCGTTCCTTTTTCTCTGCAACCTCGTCAGCATCTGTTATTCTTTGCCTTTTTAATAGTAGCCATTTTGAATGGTGTGAGGTGGTATCTCATTATGGTTTCGATTTGTATTTTTCTAATGATTAGTGACACTGAGCTTTTCTTTCATATGTTTAATGGCTGCATGCAAGTCTTCTGAGGCTGAAGTTTATTAATCACGTATATTCCCCTCCCAGCCAAAGGGAAGAAGACATTACTTGCCAGGCAGGGTCACATGGGGGTTATACTCAGCAAGAGAGTAGACAACCAGGGGTTGTGAGAAGTAGATTTTAAGAGATTGGGTGCCCCTGGGTTTCTAGAAGGATGTGATTGGCTTGTTTGGATAATTCCTTGAGCTGGCAGGAACTGAAACTGCTAAGGGAGGCATAAGCAGAAATCAGCCTGATCCCTTTGATAAAAAGGGGTTGTTTGGCAAGGTAACCTTATCTGTAAGAACATAGTGGGGAGAGGAATTTGTGGCTAGGTTATTTGAGAGAAAAATAATTTCTTTATATATATATATATATATATATATGTATTATATGTTAAAAATATAAATCACAGCTCCTTCCACACCACCACAATGGTGCACATGGATGTGATCTCAAAAGCTGATGCTCTCAAGAGCATCAACAATGCAGGAAAGAGAGGTAAATGCCAGGTTCTTATTAGGCCGAGCTCCAGTTATTGTCTGGTTTCTCACAGTGATAATGAAGCATGGTTACATAGGCGAATTTGAAATCACTGATGATCACAGAGTTGGGAAAATTGTTGTGAACCTCACAAGCAGGCCAAACAAGTGTGGAGCGATCAGCCCCAGATCTGATGTGCAACTCAAAGACCTAGAAAAATGGCAGAATAATCTGCTTCCATCCTGCCAGGTTGGTTTCATTGTACTGACAGTCTCAGTCTCAGCTGGTATCATGGACCATGAAGAAGCAAGAAGAAAACACACAGGGGAAAAATCCTGAGATTCTTTCTCTAGAGATATAATACATGTTTACAAATAAAATGCCTCATGAACACACACACACATATAATATATATATGTTATATATACATAATCAAACGTGTGTATATATATATATACAAGTTTTATATATATGTTGTATATATACACACAACACACACACACACACACACACACACACACACATATATATCTATATATGTGTGTGTGTGTGTGTTGTTATAAATAAACATCAAATAGTACCTAAGATATTATGTCAGGATTCTCCAGAGAAACAGAACCAGTAATATGTACACACACACTCACTCACACACATACACACACACACACACACATTTTATATATATATATATATATATATATAGTGTTTTATATATAGTGTGTGTGTGTGTATATATATACATATAGTTGGAAAGAATATCTATATATATATAGATATATAGTTGGAAAGAATATATATATATATATATATATATCCTCATTCTTCCTTTTACATATATACATGTATACAGTCATATATATATACTGTGTGTGTGTGTGTGTGTGTGTGTGTGTGTGTACATACTACTAGTTCTGTTTCTCTGGAGAATCCTGACAGACATATCTCAGGTACTACTTGATGTTAATATAAGAATAAAATAAAATTATACCTGTTTTCTCGTGAACTTCACTTAAGCAAAACACTATTTTCCCAAGAAGTTAAGGAACACGTAATGACTGGGCCTTAATTTGGGGTCTTACACCATAGTCCTTAGCTCACGTTTGAACATTCTCAGTAATAGGAACTCACTACTGTTTTGTTAAACAGTTCTTTTTTAGTAGATAGCTATTTTATCACTATTTCTATAACTTTTTCCCTAGTATTCCCCTATGTTAAGCAAGTTGAAAACCCAGTCCCCAGAGCAGCCTTTCATACATGTACTGTTAGCTACTCTAAGAGATATTTGTTGGCTACCTTAGTTGCCAATCTGTCAATTCCAAAAGCAACTCAAAATTGCAGTCACATATTTTGGGAGAGATTGATCATACCCATGATAGTTTATTGTCAACTTGGCACTATAGTGCCCAATTATTAAATCAAACACTAACTTATGTGTTGCTGGGAAGGTATTTTGTAGATATGTGTAATATCTACAATCACCTGACTTTAATTAAAATCTATTATTCTTAATAATGTAGATGTGCAGCCAGGCATGGTGGCTCATGTCTGCAACCCCAGCACTTTGGGAGGCTGAGGTGGGCAGATCACCTGAGGTCAAGAGTTTGAGACCAGCATGACCAACATAGTGAAACCCTATCTCTACTAAAAATACAAAAAAAATTAGCCATCTGTGGTAGCAGGCACCTGTGATCCCAGCTACTCAGGAGGCTGAGGAAGAAGAAACGCTTGAACCTGGGAGGCGGGGGTTGCAGTGAGCTGAGATCGCACCATTAAACTCCAGCCTGGGCAATGAGTGAAACTCCATCTCAAAATAAACACATACATATGTACATACATATATAAATACATACATACATAATGTAGACGTGCCTCATCCAATCAGTTGAAAGGTCTGAAGTTTCCTAGAGGAAGAAGAAATTCTGCCTCAAGACTGCAACATCAGCTTCTACCAGATAGTTTCTAGCTTCCTGGCCTATCCTACGGATTTCAAATATGCCAGACCCCACAATCAGGTGAGCTGACTCCTTGAAATGAATTTCTTTATGTAATAAGATATCATACACACACACACATATATACATACACATATATATTTTATATGTATATAAATATACACATACACGTATATAAATGTATATACACATGTATATATGTATATAAATGTATATACACATGTATATATGTATATAAATGTATATACACATGTATATATGTATATAAATATATATACACATATGTATGTGTATGTAAATATATATATATATTATATATATATACACATACATATGTGTATATATATTTATATACATATATACATGTATTTATCTACTTCCTATTGGTTC